TTAGTTACTGCCACAAAAGCAAGTGGCCAGGGGAAATTTTGCTTTCTGATGAGTTAACATTTATGTAGCTCATAACTACTATGCACAAATAATATAGCAAAGAGTGATTTCTCAAGAGCAAAAGGAAGGCAAAGTGAGCTGTAATATTTAAAAATAAAAATTTTGGTAATAAAAATGGTAATTTTAACAATCCCAACAGAAGCACAAGATTGTGAAATGTTCATAACAAAGGAAAATAATACTAGCAAGAGTAAAATTCCTTTACCTAAACAAAAATACAAACTGCTTTCAAATAGCAATATTTGGCTTACCTTACAGGAGTATATAGGATTTTTGTGTACTCTTGTTGGCAGCTGTCCACTCCATGTACAGGTTGCATCACACACAGCTGTTTCAAAGTGTCAAAGTGTTTTAGATTGAGGACGTTATTAGGAATGACAAATAAAAGATTATTAAATAATGTAAAAGGCCTTCACAAGAATGACACATTAACAACTTGGGCTGAACTGGTTTTATTTGAGGATTGCTATTCCAAACACCTCAGCTACCATGAACTAAGAAACATGCCATATTCAACAAGGTTTAAAAGTTACACTTAGGTATTTGCATACGATATATTTGAATATTGGATCAGCCTCAATAAAAGTCACATTTGCCTGCATGTGACTGCATGTACCTGCCATCATGCCCAATACTTGATACTGTCATCATATGCTACAGCACCACTGTGGATGGAATGTGTGTGGGGGCAGATGCCACAATCACCTCACCATGCAGAGCGTTGGCACCAGTAACCCAAGGAGTAAAATGTCATGATATATCACTCGGGCTCTGGAGGGGGAGTACTTGTAACAGCACGACCCCACAACCTGAAGTTCAGCACGCTTTCCCCAAGACAGGTCACACCAGGTCCACAGCCATGTCGTCGCTTATTGGACAGTAGGCTCCCCTCATTCCCTGTGCGCTTACATAGTGCACATGTACTTGAGCCACAGAATCCAGAACCAAAAGAAGCATTCCCCATCCCTCCAAAGGAAGACAGCAACCAGCAGCGGCAAATGCAGGACTGCCTAGTCCTTTAGCCATTGATCTACTTCAATTCCAAACACTGAGCCATACCTGTGGGCACTCAGACCCACAACAATCACTCCCTAAAGAGATATAAACTGGTCTAAGTGGTAGTTTCCAAAAACATGCTCTACATGTTGATGTACAGTTATGGCCTACAATAATCAGAAGAATGGGCATGCCAGTTGGTCACATGGAAAGAGGCCATCAGGGGCAGGATTCCATCTAGACGATGTCAGGCCCAGACGCATAAAGGCATTAATCTTTTATCTTTCACTTTATGTAGTTTTCTTTATTAACGATTCTAGAGCTCTTGCTGGTAATCAACAGTGGAGAATCCAAGTGGAAACTGGTTATAACAATTCCATAAAAAATGGACAGGAAAAGAGGAGAGAAAGCGAGGCAGAGAGAAAGAGGGAATGTGATATCATGCAGCTAATCTGACAAACTTCATAAAATGGTGTACCTGCACCAATCCTGGTATTCCCCCTCTGGTGACAAAGATCCAAATAATGAGTTTGTGCCAGAGATGTGGCACAAGTGTAATAGCAGCAACAGCCCAGAGGAACACACTGACTGTTGACAAGCCCTTGTCTACTGACAAGGATGTGGGTTGTGCCCAACAGATACAGGTTAATGCCATTAGTAATAATTTCAATCTCCATATCAATAACAATACTGAAAACAGTAATAATAACCACCCTCTAAATCTGGTTGTGTCACAGCAATCACATGACCACATATATGGGCATTAGCCTAATGCTCTGCCAGGTGGCAGTTAGAAGGAAGGGCACACACAAACACTTGTCTGTGGAGAGAAGACTATGCATCCTATTTATGCAAGGGTTTTTAGCTCCCCCCCTCCATTTTCCAATATTCATATTTTCTTTGCATTATCCAGATGGTAAAACACCTTACTTTTCACAGACTCCATCTCTCTCTAGAGTAAATAATTGTGCTTCATCTCATATAATATTAACAGGCCTCCCTATTTAAATGGTCCACCAACTTTCTCAGACATTACCCAAAACGTAGTTTCTTCTCATTACATACAGTTAAGCACATCAACTCTGTTTTACTGATCCCCACAACGAGTCATATATGCTTTGACTAGTCAAACTAGCTTTATACATGCAGGGAAGATGAATTCTTCTGCCATATCAACAATTTATACAAAAGCTACAGCACAGTACCAACAAGTCTTGATGGAATGAATATTTCATGTCTAAATGTACACAAAACTCACATTTTTAAATATCAATATTTTTTCATAAATCACTGATTTTTATTTTTTCTGATATTGGTATAAAAGTGTTCTTTGGACAATCATGAAGGTATATATAAATGCTGTATGCAAGATTGTAAGAAGAATAAGTCAATGCAAGTGTACCTGGTGCTAATTACCTGCATACATAGTTTACCTGTTGGCACTTACACATTTGTGCTTCCTGAGAAATAACCCAATATAGGCTCTAACAACATTTGGTAGTTTCTTCACTTGTGTACATACAACATAAGCTAGCTAACTCATAACCACCCTACTCTCCCCCTTCCACACACAAAAACTTGGAGACTACAGTTACCTGGTGCCAAAAAAGTATAAAAGATCAATTACAGGCAAATTCTGTCAAAATCAGAGTTCATTGTCACCTGGTATTAATGTGAAAGAGGGGAGGGGAGAGATCAGCTGCATTTTAAATACTGGTACTATTATCATTGCAGTATTTACAGCCACATAACTTTTGAACATTCATCATAAGGTTGGTTTCTACAGTAGGTCTAAAGATGAAGTTTTGATAAACTATTCCTCTGCAAGAAAGAGGATTTCTAAAGGCCTTGATATATTAACCCTTGGATCTGGGCGACATGTGGCCATGTCAAGAAAAAAATCCAGGTCAAGGGGTGGGTGACAAGGCTGTCATGGGAAAATCTGGCTGTAGGCCGGGCAAGACGAACTTGCTGTGAGAGCATTTAGGCTGAAGGCAGGATGATGGAAAAGACTAATAGGAGGTTTGTTTTACTCACTTGGCAATTTCGCATTTTCCCCATAGCTGCACAAGTGTGGAATGTAATGTTTGTGAGTGGTGACGAAGAGTACCAGCTCTATAGAGGACGCAAGTCCATGCTCATCTTCCTGTTTCATGTGTTCGCATGCGTCAGGCCTACAAGCCGCCATCCAGGAACCCAGTAGCGGTTCACACAAGCCTAATGCACAAATTTTAGGGGGGCTTGATTGCCGTGACGCAACCAGATCCAATGGCTTAATACAAAAGAAAAACTATCCCAACAGACCCTACCTGCAGCATTCCTGTGCATCTTGGCTGCCTTTTCAATGGAGTAAGGGTCTGTTGGGTTGGCCAACAAGCTGGCAAGAGGGCCTGGTGCTCTTGGCTCCCCACTCAACAAACTTGTCCCATCCATCAAGCCCGGAAATAACTGGGATGTTAACCAAGCATTTTGAAGCTGAGCTAGGCTTGTCAAGTCTACACCTAGACAAAATAAAATTTACAAGAAATAAGTGGTTTATTCCTTACATAAATATGCAGTATAAAAATGTTGACTAATTACAGATATTAGGAAATCAATAAGAAACAAAATGTGAAATACAAAAAAATAAGCACGGCTGTCACAATTAAAGGTGGATCTGCAAAACTTAAATTTAATACTATAGGACTTGTCAGAATACAATAATGTGAGAGGACAGAAGAAAGAGGGGCAAGGATAGAGAGGAAAACACTCACCTTGTGGTACCTGTGACAAAGCATTTTGTGGGTTGATGCTAGAATTATTATTAAAGTTTGCTTGCAGCTGGCTTACATTACCCACTTGGTGTTGCTGTTGTAGATTGAAAAGTGCAGCATTTGGCAACAGCTGTTGCTGATTTACATTAAGAAGTGGACCTTGACGAGTTACACCGACTGTTGGGTGATTTCCTTGATTGTTAGCACTAGCATTGGCACCTAGGTTCAGTGAGCTCTGAAATAGAAACTTGTTAAACAACCCTTACAAATACTGCTGAAATGGAAACCTTTACATCCTCTAACGGTGATCTGTCCTTTTCATATGTAATCAATTATATACATGGTATGTAATCTAACACCATAATAGATAGGGACAAGAATACAAACCACGAGATCAGCAATGGCTGTGATATCGCCAGCTTTGCTCGAGCTCACTTCATGGGGAAATGGAGCAGAGTCCTGACACCCCATCAAGATTGCATCTTCCAAGGTTGGGCTACCAGGTTCACTAGAAAATTTAAATTATAACAGATAGATTTTGTCATATTAATCTGGAGCACTAATCTAATTTTTTTTATGTATTGCTGCAAGATACTAGCAGTGATTACTAGCTAATATAATGTATCTGAACTTGGAATTAATCTCTTGCTGTGCTACATTAAAAAAATGAGCACTGGATGATGCAGGTCAATTTCTTTCTTATTTTTCCAAGTGCAACTTTTCGAGCACTGGGATGATTTTCAAGGGATCTACAAGAAAGGGTGAAATGAGGGACTGGAAACCAATTTTTAAAAATTGGCTTAAATTTTATTATATACAACAAAATTTAATAATTTTCATAATCTAACTATCAATACCTACTTTTAGTAGTAAAAAAGACCCCTCCAAAGACTAACCCATTTGTGACGGTATAAATAACAAAAAATGGGTAAAATGCTGTGATCATTTTTTAAATTTTTTGTGAAATATGTCTACACATAGATGGCTCTGCCTTACCTGATTTCATCTTTACTTGAATTGGCAGGAAAATCTATTTTCTACTAGTGTTATGAATATCAACGGTTATTTTTATTATAAACATTATAATCACTATAATGTTATAAGCATTAGTAACAAATGAAGATAATGTAAAATATTTTCATAAATTAAAGAAAAGGGTAAACGGGCAAGTCAGGCAGTACTCGCAACAAGTGTAGCCATTTATGGTTTAAAACAATTAAACAAGTAAACTTACAGTGGGTATGTCACGGATACATGACACCCGTCACGAATGGGTTAACACAAGAAATCTACGAGATCCAAATAGCTGAAAATTGGGTCTCAGTTTCTCAGTATGGTTCTTAACCAGTTACTGCCGGGTCACATGTATAGCCCTCATAACAAACCACTTGATCTGCCAGGTATGGCTATACACATGGCGACGTGCTAGAGTGTGTTGAGCAGGAAGTTCTACTATATGCAGCAGACTCCCATGCCCAGCAGCTGGAGAGTTGCCACAAATCAGTATGATGCAGAGATTTATAATACCGTAACTGAAGGATTACATTATCTATACATATAAAGACTGAATAGAGGGAGAGAGGGAGGTCTTGCCTAGCAGTGGAAGCTCTCATCCTGTGTGCAATGCTTGTTGGTCCTGGTGAGTAATTAAAGGAGTGTCGTGAAACACTTGATCCACTTGAATGTGGGCTCTCATCCATGTAGCTGAAGACATTATTGCGCCCACACACCTGAAAATTACAAAACATTAAGCAACAGAATTAATGAGAGAGAGAGAGAGAGAGAGAGAGAGAGAGAGAGAGAGAGAGAGAGAGAGAGAGAGAGAGAGAGAGAGAGAGAGAGAGAGAGAGAGAGAGAGAAACCTTGCAGAGTAAAAGATCAAACCTGTGAGGTAGTGCGAGGAGTGAGTGGAGTGTGTGGCGAAGTGGAGCTATCCGAGCTGTAGCTGTAGCTCTGAGCTAGAAGACGACTTAGAGGTATGCTTGGATCAACAGCAGCACTGCCAGTCTGTGAATGATACCGTAACACTTTAGAAACAACTAAGTCAATATAAACATTTGTAATAACTTATAAATTCAAATTAGATTACTCAGACTATTTCATCAATTTTCAAAATTCTTACCTGACCATTCTTTTTAGGCCCAACTGGCCCTAGATCTCCCACACTTCCTTCTGTTCCATTCATTAACTCAGTCAACATGGCATCTGAAAATAGGTAGGCCATCAAACTTTTGATAATGATATGTGCATTCAATATAAATCAATAACTTAAGTGATAAAGATACAAACCAATGGAATTCTTGTGAGCATTTTCTGATGAGAGGTTTCGGAGATCTAGGGAGTTGTTGAGGAAAGAATTGATACGCATGATTGCTTCTAAGTTGTTTTCATCCTGTTCTACACCACTTAAGTTAAGGGACCCATATAGGTCTGTTAGATCATTCTGTAAAAAAAAGAAGCTCCTCCTCAGTATGACTAATTAGTTAATTCCTAAAAGGTGTATGAATTAAAATTTTGTTTTGTCACATATTAGGCATGAGCTATTCTCTACTCTGATTCACTTTGTAACCTGGTATAAACCTTTTCATATGGTGAAAAAAAAGGTAAAAAGAAACCCACAAACCAGAGAGCGAAGGAATCCCTGCAAGATTCAATCATGATCAGCACACTTTATTGCTTAGCTAAGGAAATATCAACAGTTTTCTGAACTATACATATATATTTTTTCTTTTCTTTTCTTTTCTTTCCCAATTGGATCAGATTAAAGTCAATATTTTATAAACCTGCAGATGCATTTTATAAAGATTTATGCATTTCTATAACCATTCGATCAATCATATTACAGCACTTCTTTTACCTATCAATTTTATTTGATAGATTCCTGTTGTTTGCTTCATACCCACCCACCGACGAGTTGGTCGACTTCATAGTGGAAGACAAATAGGTATGTATGTATGAGTTGATTCACATTGCTTTTCTTTTATACACATTCCTGTTATATCCAGATACCCAAAGGTGATAAGTGTACCTACATCAACTAATGTATTCCATTTGCATGCTGACAGATTTGCAGAGGTGAACAAGACGGCACAAAGCTACGGACAGCGATGGCATCCGATCGAATTCCCAGACTCAATGCAGCACTTAAAATGAAGCTTTTTCCAGAGGCATTTCTCAGTGAATGGCTTCGCACAGCATGTCAAATCTCCCGATGAAAATGTGCATACACACGAGGTTATTCTTGTGAATTGTGTGAATAATTACCTAAGACATAAAAGTATAATAAAAGCATGAGCCGGAATTCATGGCAAAGGTTCCGAATGTCACATTCATTCATTTTCATCATGGCGAGCCAACAGGAAGGTATCCCTGTAGGTGGGTTGAGAAGTGGTTGCGATACCTATTATTTCCAAATTAATCATGATTTTTTACATCATGATGGAAGGGCAAAAGCGTTTCTTCTTCACCATGGAGTCTTGCTAACATCTGTGGAGTGCCCTCACTGCAATCTACCATGTAAACTCTGGGAGGACCGGCCAACTTCATATTGCGGTAGGTGGACAAGAGTAAGCAAAACTAAACGGCGGCAATGCTCTTATAGGTATGGTATGTAACGGATATATTAACTATTAATAAATGTCGTACATTGTTGTATGATATATTACTAACCAATATCATAAAAAAAAATGTTCCGAAGAGAACTGCACTTTTAATATTTTCTAATGCCTGGGACTATGAGGGCACATTTCTCGATAACTCAAGAATTTCGCTGTGGAAGCTGCTTTTGATCACCAATCACTTCCTACATCACACATGGGACCACAGGACAGTGATAGAGTGCCTCCACATATCATCAAAGACGTCGATAAACTGGAGAAGCTTTCGCTTCGAAGTGACGGAATTCCGGCTCGGGAAGCAAGAACCCATCGGCGGGCCAGGGGTGGAGGTTGAGATTGACGAAACCCTGTTGGTGAGGTGGAAGTATTGCAGGGGGAGGACGTTTCATCAGGTATGGGTCTATGGTGGGATTGAGCGGGAGTCTAAGATGTTTATGGTTCCCTTGGTAGATCCTGAGGAACAGGACAGAACTGCCGCTACATTAATACCACTCCTCCAGCGGTACATCCGGGAAGGAAGTATTATTTATAGTGACAGTTGGGGCGCATACAGCATGCTTCAGGATCTTTGATATTCTCACTATGTGATAAACCATAGTGAGAATTATGTTGACCCTGACAACGCCAAGATCCACACGCAGACCATCGAGTGTTTATGGAGGGATATCAAGGATTGGGCGAAGTGTTCTGGCATGCGTCCACAGTAATTTCACCAGTACTTTGCCAGATACCGGTTCCTGCGTCACTACACCAAAACCCGCTTCCATGACTTCATTTTGGTAATTATCAAGCATTTTGTTTTAATAGAAATCAATAGTTTGCATATTACACATGTAAAATACAGTGTATGTTAAGTGTTGTACATTTTATTTTACCGTAAATTTTTTTTTTTAGGCTGGCTAGCTATTTCCACCACAGTCGGAGTGTGGTCACCGTACCCCAATGCCCATCAAAGACTATGATTGGGAGGACTCCAACAACCTAGACGAAGCTAAGCCAGGCCCTTCAGAATCCCGCCCAAAAGCCCAGGACGCCGAGAGCCAAACCGTCACTATGTAGTCGGTATTGCAACCCAGTCTTGCACAACCTCCATGAAGGCGGTTCAGTGTTCACAAACACTTATATCACGGTAGAGGGGAAATGTGCAATTTAGTTATAATATAATAGCAAGTGTAAGTAAGCCATACATGAAAAGTGTTAATCAAGGTAACCGATCCATACACCATTTGGTGTCACGTAGCAATGTCAATAAAATACAATTCGTTTGAAATGTGGTTCCTATGAATTAGAAAATTTCGCCCCATATTATATGGTTTCAAAAAATGAAAGCGTTATAAATCTCAATAGTGTTCATTAGTGAGTTTTTTCATAATTATGTTAATACGTTAATAAAAAAAAAAAAAAAAAATCGCTCAGTGATTTAAGCAAGCAAGTATATAATGTGGCCGAAAGCATCCGACAATATACATAGTGCGTAATATTTGGAAACCATTGTACGATCTGGATTATGTGAATTCCCCGTACATTTTAAACGAACAGTGGGTTTGGTTCCCAAAGCTTTTTTTTTTAAGTTGGCACATCGGCCCGTAGACTTTAAAAGACGGCGGTGACATTTCATTAGCCGATTTCATGCATTTTTTGTCCTTGTTTTACATATTCTTGTTCTCTACTATTCTATTTCAGCCTGTTTTACCCCGTAATTTCACTGATCTACTCCTTGCCCTCCCTGCTATCAGGACTTAGAAAATCACATCAAGATTATGGCTGGAGAATGCGACAGATATCACGAGATTTGTTCTCATCACACGAGAACAAACCTGATGACAAATATTGTCTTGGAAGACCCGATTGTCATTTTTGGAAAATTAACAAAGTATCATAAACTAGAAGAATGCATTACATACATGAATTTGGATAAACAGGCGCTAGTAATGACAAAATAAGCGTTCTCACAAAGTGCGTAGCAATACTGTACTACTTGAGAGATCCGCAGTAATAAGTTACGTGTCACATTTGCTTTGATCCTCGCGAGGTAAAACATGGAAGGGGACTTAGAAAATGAAGGGTCGATCTTCTGTCTTCTGTCCTGTTATCCCCTTATTTTAGAGTTGCTCACCTTTTGCCATAGATGAAAGTGGCTTAGTTTATGTCAAGGTATCCATTCCTACACTTATTTTACGACTCTTGGTTGACAGTGTTCCCAACATTTCATAATGGCTATATAAACTAAGTTGGTCTTAGGTTGACCTGACCTAACCTAACCCGAGATCTATGGAAAGGCCTATGCTTGTAATTTCCTTCACCATGTGGCATGAATAGTCAATGATAAAAGGACCAAGTTTCTTATTTAAAAGTCCGATTCCAAGTACTTTTTTTTTTCTTTAGCAGATTCACTTGATCTTGAGTTCCTTGTATAAAGTACACATCCAAGCACTTTCCTTTTTTTTTTTATCTAATAATAGCCTGTTCAGCGCTGAAACTAAACAGAACGTTCCTTTCCCCAGTTTTCTGGATATTGTTAGCGACAAGTTTCAGCTTTCTCCAATGGAAGGCTCTGTAAGGATCCTCGTAACAATAGCCAGTGGACTTACTGTATGCCCAGTCGAAGGACAGACACCTAATTATCCAAAAAAAATGCATCAGCCAAACACAAACATCTGGCTAATAGGCCTAAGTTACCCTGCCATCTGCTAATAGGCATAAGGACCCTTGCATCTGCTATAGGCTAAGAACCTCGTATCAAAACATGGCTCCTCACTAGTTAATTATTTATGCAGGACTATAATCCCACAAGTGTCGATGAGAGAATCGAAAAAAAAAAAAAAAAAAAAAAAAAAAAAAAAACGCTTATACACCATCCTCAACGGGGAAGCAAGGAGAACGATCGCCTTTTCGGGACTCGATTCTTTTCGTAAAGTCATGTAGTTCTCATTTCAAGAGGGAACGAATAGAGCAATGTAAACTATAGGAAAGGGAAAAAAAGAACAAGCCTGCAAAAACAAAGTTCTGTCGAAAGGATTTCAAATAAAAAAAACGAACATTTTCTTCCGTTTTTCCTCTGAAACAAAACACCAAGACAAATACCGGTATCATAAAAAACAGTAAAACCTAATACCGCACCAAAATCTAAAATAAATAAAACAAATAAAGATAATTACATAAATATATATAGAGAGAGATAGAGAAAAAGAGAAAAAAACGAAATTAATTAAACAACTACCAGTACATTGGGGCATGTCTCCTCTCCGCTCCTTATTTCGCACATTCCACGCCAGAATCCTTCTTCCGCGTCGGTTTCTAGCTAAAACGAAGTGTATCGCGTCCCAAGAATAAAATCTGCGCTAAGAACAACGAACAAAACAACAATTATAAAGAAGAATGAACTGT